ATCAATTTTAACAAAATCTGTACAAGAATAGTCTGAAATGTAACACTAGAAACAGTGTATATTGTCTGTACTGTTTGCTCTTTGTTGCAAGAGACAAATTGCTGGGAGGCAGAAGCAGATTTTCCCCCCCTTGTTTTCCTCCCCAAAAGCTAGGTGCGTCTTATACTTTGGAGCATCTTATACTCCGAACAATACGGTAGCTACTACTCTTTTAGCCAAGATACATGAAAGAAGAATGTAGGGCATATCTAGGTGGTTCCATTCCAGGCTAACCACTGCAGGTATTTTATTTATTAAATTTATATGCTGCCCATCTCTCCATCAAACAACTCTAAGTGGCTTGGATCAAGCTAAAAATGGGAATACAAAACATTAAAACAATAAATATTACCCAAAATATCTAAGGAAAGAGCATTATACAGCAGGCTGGAGATAAAATCTTCTCTTATAGTGTAATAATAAAACTGTAAATAACAAAACCTTCCAAAACATGTTTTTCATAGGCTTAATGACAACTTGCTGGAATTGGTCTCCCCCTGTTGCACCGACCAGAGGCACTGGTGCACATCCTCGCAAGCCCTCCTTGACCTATGGCATGTATCTCATACACACCCTCATGCCCTTCCCAACCCTCCCCATCCATCTCTCATTCTCTCTCCTATCCAGCAACAGTACCTGTCTACCGGCCTGGAACTTATAACTTCCTTCCAGTTTCCCCACCAGTTGTGGGAAGCTGACAGGAAGTTGCCTTGCTTAATAATCATTGGGATTCAGTTAATGATGACAATCAAGATTGACTAAACCATTTTTGCTTATGACCTATTATTGTTGTTGTAAGTCACCTAGAGTAGCACCACGGCAAGGTAAGTGGCAAATAAATTTAATTAACTAATAAACTTAACAACTGCATTGCTTAGCAATGGAAATTCCAGTCCTAACTGCTATCATAGGTCAAGGATTACCTACATGTGGAAAAGCCCATCCTCCATTGTGAAAATACATAAAATAGACAAATGCATTCCAAAAGCCATCCTCCAACAGAACTATGTGCCGATGCAAAATCTCTTACCGTGGATAACAAGGTCTGACCTGTATTTACCAATCACAAAATATGTGAAACTACAGGGAATGAAACCACCAATAATAATGAGGATTGCTGGGAAGCAATGGGTCCCAAAGGTCAAAGACTCTCTGTGGGAAAGAGTGGAGCCAAAACGTGGTGAGACTTACCAAAGAGCTCAATGTACACCTCCTGCAGGGTATGGATGCTGCAAAACTGGTTGAGTTCGTGGTGGATCTTATTGAAGATGAGCGCCTTGTCATAATCGGCAGTGTAATTCCTCACAATGTCATAAACTAAAAAAGGGAATACCAGTTTGCTTGTCAGTGATGTGTCCCGTCCTGTCCCCCCCAATCACAAAGTGATTCTATGCCACTGATACAACACAATTATAACACCAAGTCAAAATAACAACTAAAATAAGAAAAGGCAACTGGCTAAGGAACATATGGCACGCATCAAGGAGGGTAGCATATGATCCAACAATTACCACCAAGGAGTAGCTCATCCTACTCTACCTTGGGACTTGTCGAGAGAGGCAGGTTTTACAGAAGGGCAATGAGGTGAGGAGCATATCATCTCAGGGGGGGGAGATGCACTGTACATCACCTAGATTCCACAAAATGAGGAAGCCAAGACCTGGAGTGAACCAAATCGTTCAGAATCCAAACTACCCAAATGGTTCCTTGGCTCACCACATCTTGAGCCACAAAAGACTCCTCACAATGACCTTTGAGATATTCTTCCTAACTCTCAAACCTCACAAGTGTTTGGGCTCCCTTAAAAAAGGTTGATGGGTAGGATTCTGCAGAAAAATACCCGTGCCTTTATTTTTGCGGTATAGACCTAAGCTTGTACATGCTTTTGGTAGGACTCATTCTTCATTCTGCCACCTTGGCACTCTAAATGTCTGTTCTGATGCTTTACCTCCTCAAAAAACCA